TAGATTTATATAGTACATAAGTACAATTGTTTTCAATAAAACTTAATAATAATTTAACACACGAATAATTGAGTGGACTAAAAGATAATTTGCTGATGTCCAATATTAATCTTTTTTTTTTTATGGAAGTTAGAATAGCAAACAAGCTGTCGGCCTATCTGATGGAAAGTATTAACCGTCGCCTGAAGACATTACGCTTGTTTCACCCATAATACCCCCATGCGTTGCTCTTCCTGAGGACTGCTTCTGTATCTTGTAAATTCACTGCCATATCCCACCTTTCAAACCAAAACACAGCCATGCAAACATAATTGCTTTACGGTAGAAACACAAATGGGACAAGCAAACGACTTTTGTACAAAGTCTCCCTCTGCTAAAATTCAAATTAATAATCAATTAGGTAATTGATTAATATTTCCATTTCTTACTAATTTCATTTAGAGTTTTCCTTTTACAATTCCAACAAAACTAGGTCACCTTTTTATGAAGTTCTATGGAAACAATAATATATATAAACAAAATTTAATACTTTTTCATTTTTAAGGTTCTGTACTAGTAAGGTAAAGAGTCCTATCTTATTACTTTTCCGTCCGCCCATCCGTCCATCAGTCATAGCGTTCTATGTTAGTAACTACTAATGCTATTAATTAAAATTTGTATTAGTTTTACATATCATTAGCTCGCAAATATATCAGTGGAAATAATTAATAAAAAGTTTTTGTTTTCTTTATGTCCTGTTCTGTGTGTTCGTTTTGGACCCCCTAGGGCTTTAAAACGGACGCACAAAATTATAAAATAAACGTACTAGTCCAAGTGGTGTATTACATGAAATGGGTTCATTTATATAATTTGAAACGAATTTTTATTTATTTTTATGATGCATAGTTAGTCACTTATGAATAAAAATATGAAAAAAAAACCATTCCCTCTAAAGTTTCTGAAGCGAATCTGAATTAATTACAATTTGTGTAGGTGTATATAAATATTAAAGGAAACATAAAAAGATGTTTCTAATTAGTACTATATTTGGAAATTATCAAAAAATCTCCAAACTTAGTTATGCAGTCCAATTCTTAATCATAATTATTACTCAAAATAAAAAATTACAATTTATAGTATCAATAATAATAACTATTACGTCTATTTCGTAAAGGAAATGTAATAAAGGTCATTTTATCTCATATTTATATATTTATGTACGGAACTTTTAGAGTGTGAGTTTGACTTGCTTCTGACCAGTTTTATAGTTAAATAAAGTCACTCTTAGAAATACCTAACAGTAATAAATTCATTTATTAAGAATAATTTATTTTCGTATTCAAACTTTAAATATAAGGTTTCAATACGAAAATAAATTAATATAACGTTCCAAAATAGATATAATTCTACTTAATTAATTAATGAAATATATTATTTATGCATCATCTATATAAGTATGTATCTATATAATATAATTTTACCTTTTGCTATTAAATTGGTTACACAGGTTACACTCTGGGTTTGTTGCACGCGTCCGTGTAGCCTTGCTTCAGGTTGCAGCTGAAAATCAGTGCTTTGCTTTTAAGCAAAAGTATCACTGAGCTGTAGCCTTTTTGGGTCACTGCGACACACATGGTGAAAACATATCTCCAATATTAATTTTATGTTTTATATGTTGTTTTATATTTGAAAAATGTAAATAATGAAATTGTATCATTTTATTCATTAATTTAAGTGTGTTAAATGGCTCAAATAAAGTGTTTATCTATCTATCTATCTACTTAAGACATACCTTTTGGCATCCATTATATTTAACAAAAGCCCTGCGTTACATATATTGAGAGAAGTTACAGGTATAATTAAATTTCACCCTGCAGAAGTGGCGTGGTTATACGTACTTCGCATACTTAGGTAGTTAACTTGACAAAGGTATTTCGACGTCTAGGCTGGGTTGCAAGGTTCCTTTTGATAGGGCAAAGCTCACTTCCTGGAGGGTCGGTACATAATCGCAGCTCTTTTTTAGCTTCCACCTGCCTACTCACAAAGAAAATCTAAGCTAAGGCTTTTTGCTCTATCAAATACGCGAGGCGTTTGTATGTGAGCAGTATTTAATGTTTACTCAGAGCTGCATACTTTTATTTCGAATGACTTAAATGGTTTTTAAATAATTTAACGATAGTTCTTTATGTGTAAATGAATAAAAAGAGCATCTTTTTGTTTTTAATATATGAATGAACGGTGGGATTTAAATAGAGGTATTTCTGTACTTTCTGCTTTTTTTTAATTACAGTTTTTATTTCTGAACTTAACCTATTGTTAAAGGAGAGGGGAAGGAATTGTTAGTAATGCGAACTGCCAGTCCCATTGCTAGTAATATACCCTGTCAGGTCGACCTTCTCGTGGCCCCCTTTGGAAACCATCGTGCTTAATTCCAGATGTATTCATCACGATGGGCTAACAGACCTGGCTTTTCATCCTAACCTATCATCTCTCACTGGTGCCCCGCCAGCATATAGGCTTAGCGCAGTTGGGGTTACCATTTCATTATTATCCATTGATAAAAAACCTATTGTCAGATTAAGTTGTGGTTTTCGCATACATCTTATTGTCAATTCAGGTTTATGGCTTAGGTTTATGGAAATATTATCATTGCTAATCACTAAAAGTACTAACCTAGCAAAATCTATTAGGAGATATCTGCTAGTATAGTCTTTGAATATGCTCTTAAGTTCTCTTTTATAATGTTGTTGTTTATCAGTTATGTTAGAAAAAGAATTGATTAGCCGAAGTCACAAAAACTATGGTTTGCTGGATATTTCATAGCGTCGTTATGTGGTTTAATAGCATCCCCATAAGATGAATCTAATGAAACCTATTCAAAAAAAGTCACTGTCAAAGGTTTAAATACATAGGTACCTTTTCTAATGTGCCAGACAAACTTCAGTCGCTTATTAAACTAGATCTTAAACTAGAATACCCTGTGTTATAAGGAACTGCGCAACGAACAACTGGAAGTACAACTCAGAAAATACACACTCGAGTCTATAAATTGGAGAATCGAAGCTGGGACCTCATTTACACAAAACAAGGTACCCGCTACCACAGAGCTTTTCACTTTACATACTTTCAGGCATCTAAATATCATTACCCTTTCTTGGGCAGTCAGGTAAAAACAACTCTGTATTTTCTGTTGTCGTGAGACTTCCGAAAATCCTTCCGTAGGGATATAATTCCAAGTTTCTAGACCTAGTAGATACTTTATTATGCGTTGATAAATTAATCTTTGTATTATTTATAACACTTCCACTCTTGTTGAAATTTCCAAAAATCTTTCCTTAATTGATCTTAAAAATCAAGGAAACTAAACTCCTAGTTCTTGAATGTAGTTTGAGCATTACATATTATACGTTTATATTATAAATTGAATTAAGCAACTCTATAGCGGCTATAAACTTAGAATATACTTTAATATTTTAAATTTACAACTTCTTTTAGTACTTAAATACATTGTTACTGTATTATGTGATACAATTTGTACATAAGAACTGTTACAATATGATCTATTACGTAAATATAGGTATGAGTAGTATTTCTATCGGGCTGTTCGATTCGAATATAGATGTAATTCTTTTGTTTTATATCAATAATGAAAAAATATATATAATGTTAAAAATATTACAAATTAAGAATAAAAAACTTTCGTGGAAAAAGAATCGGCATTTATATAACAAAATTGCCAAATAAAATTTTTCCATCCAAACACCTACTGAAATAAATTAATTTTCTATTTTCCACCCAAATACCTACGGAATTAAGTTAATTTTCTTCTTAAACTATCCACTTATTTGGATAAAATTCAAAATGAGATATTTCTGTCAGCCTATTTTTGTAATTAAGTGGTAGTCGAAGCGTATATGACATGAATATCATAGAATATACTGTGACATCTATACTAGTCCTCACGTGTTGCCATTCTTGTAAATTAAGTTGTTTTAAGAGTAAGATTTGTAAGTGTAACAGCGGCATGACAGAAACACATAGGTACCTCTGTCAGGCAGATGACGTACAAAAATTTCCACTGTAGTGAACCAACTGTATCACTGTCTTCTACTAAAGCATTTGAGAATCGATTTCACAATCTAAATTTAAATCTAAATTCCTCGTAATTGCACAATAAGTACAAGAATTCATAATCATGTTTGATTAAATTCCTAATCTCAACTTTGATTTCTGCGATTTTCATTTTCCCGTCCTTTACACATCTGACAAGTAAACGTCACCTTATAATCGAAAGGCGGCGTGGGCCATTCCCTCAGGATCGTACGACATATCGCTGAGAATATTTTTTCGAGACGGTGACGGCCTGTCGGTTCCGGCCGGAGGGAAATGCAATAAATCATTGCCCATTGTCGCGCAGGGCCAATTGACGTTGATTTTTCTCCTGTATACATATGTCACACGCTATCCGGCCTTATTTAATTTCGAAAATCGTGTTTTGTTTCATTTCATAGTCGGCATATAACATACACTGTATTTAAAATTAGAATGATAGGAGACGACTACATATATGGCGTTGATAACGCACATTACTTGTTTGCAAGGTTTGACAATTTTTAAGCGTTTTTCAATAGAAGACAGGTCATATTTAGTCATTAATTTTTTATAGCTATGTAACATAGTTTCAGCGCTAATTCTAAACTGATTTTGAGAATTCTTTTTGTAGTTGGTAATATAGTTTACTTCCGAGTTTGTCGTATATACATTTTGTAACGATTTAGCTGCTATTTTTTAACGATTCGAGAAAGCGTTTTTTTTTCTGAAAAATCAAGTAATAAATATATGTAACCTAATATTTATATAAAAAACCTCATCGGTTATCAAAATGTACCTCGTTATTAATTATTCATTGGTTATGGAAGTTACTGATAGCAACAGAAAACTCAATAAAATTAGTTTACAATACTTTTTTTTAATATCACAGGGATACATTAATTAAAAGAAAATTAAAATTAAACAAACTGTCAGATTATGTAAAAATTGTGATATATTCTTTGTTAAACTATGAATATTTAACTGTACAAAATACATGGTGTTTCTAATTTACATTTAATATTAAGTAACAAAATAATAATAATATTAATATAAAACATTATTCGATGGCAGGCGATGAGCGATCATTTGTTAGCGCCTTCCTTAGCTTTACCGTAGCGAATTGTTGTGCTCTGTATATAAAATATAATATAAAATTAACAACTGCACATAAAAAAAATAGTATATAAAATCTGAATTACTCTAATTAATATTATAAGTGTGAAATTCAGTAAAAATGTTTAGATGGCAACATGACTGCAATCATTTCTATAAACTTTCTTAATGATATTGAATAGTATTAATATTAAAAATTAAGGTATTGTAATATTAAAAAATAAGAAGTTATGAAATAGCTTAATAAGTTTATTTAATTATGCATTAATAAACTAACCTCTGGATAATAATTACGTAATAATTGTTAAGCATAACTTATTACAAGTAACTAAAATAAACATATAACAAAAAAAATACAAAGTGTATACAAACACAAAGTACCTTATTTGTAAACGGCAGTTTCGCGACCCCATAAATCATACCAAGGCCCAAACGTATGTCCTTCTTCTGGCAACTCATTTCCCTCTGCAGTTCTCTTAAGAAGTTTAGTACGAGGCAGCAATTGTGGCCTTTGTTGTTTCAATGCTTCATTAAATTTCTGATCATCCGATTCACTGTACGGACCCTCACTACGTCGATCTACAAAACGTCTCGCCTCAAGTCTAGCTTCTTCTTGTCTTATTTTAGACTTTTCAGCTTTCTTAGAATCAGTCTCATAATCATATCGTGACACATGTCTTTCTTGATCACTAAAATATGATATATTCGACTCGTAAAATCTCTCATCTCTTCGTCCATTATATGGTAATGAACTGTCATCATAACTCCTACTTACTCTACTTCTACTTCGTGGATCTCCTCTATTTTTTGAATTTGGGAAATCATTTCTCAAATGTCGCCTATCCAGTGAATAATCGATTCTTGGCTCTCTATTATCATATGGTTTAGCATCTTTTTTTTGAGTTCTAACTTCAGCCTGTGGATACTCTTTTTTATGGTTCTTTCCGTTTTCAAAAATATTCTGTTGACGACTTTTCTCCTCTTTGCTTGAGCGTTTTTTATATTTCAGTGTGCCTTCATCATGCCCATTATAATGTTCATCATTACGTATATCATTATTATTTCGTTCTGTTGGTATACCATAACGATCTGTATGCTGTTCATTATCTTTGTACTTTAAGGTTTCAGACGACGCAGAGAATGTTTTTATCTCTTTAGAATTATCTTTAAAAGTCTTGAATTCCATAGTTTTAGGAGGAGTACGTTCATGGGAGTGTTTTTTTACTTTTTCTGGCATAGTTGCCCGGATATGTGGCTTTATTGGTGTTATTTCTATTTCTTCAAATTCTGGCATATAGGCGTTTTCTTTACGTTTCTTCACTTCTTCTTCCATTAATTGTGCTTGGCGACGTCGATCGAGTTCTTGTTGCTTACGTGATGTCATGTGATCATCAACTATTATACAGTCATAGGGATCAGTACTTGAAACAACGGAATTAACTTCAGAGCTACTGTCGTTATCATACCTTTGTAATATTTCTCTACGCTTAACAGTTTTCATAACAAAACCTTCGCCATTTTCATCATTGTAAAAACTATTTTCAAAATTAGTTTTTATAGTACTAGTGTTGGTTAAATCAGAATGCCTGGATTCAATTCGTGGAATAAAATCTTCATGTTTTTCCTCAGCTATAGCTTTTTCCGATGTACTTTTCTTTGACATTGTTTGGTTCTGTTGAAAGTTTTCACTGCCTTTTTTCGCCTTTTCTATATGCTCTTCAGTTTGTATGGAACCTAAACTTTTAGCTTGTCGAATGCCATTAGTAGCAACCTTAATTTCCTTTCTGTCAATTGTTTCCTTAGGTCGTTGATGTGCATTTTCGGATACAGAGGTTTTTTCAGGACTGGCTTGTTTTCTTATGTCAGGTATATCTGGTGCAGGTCTCAATTCTTTTTTCATTTTATCATATAATCTCTTTTTAAACTCGGGAACTGTGTCTACAATATCACGATGTTGCCACAAAGACATACCTTCCATAATCTCCTCCGATGTTGTTCTACCAAACTTCCAGAATGATTTTGTCCTTTTAACTCTTTGAGAATCTTTGTCCATATCCAACATGTTACGTAACATTAATTGTTGGTCATCTGTCAAGTAACCATTTGCATTGGGAGGTTTGGGACCGCGTCTCAGGCTTTGAGTTTTGAGCAAATAAGCTTTGTGATCATTGGCTGACTGAGCAGGTTTACTATAAAAATAAAATAAAAAATAAACAAAACTAGCTACTACCTAGCAAATTAAATTAAAAACAAAAACATTAAACAAGACTACTAAATATTGTAATATATCAAGCATTATAAAGATACCTGATAGGGACTCGCAGTCGTTGAGCTTCTTCATCACTGTAATCAATATCAGGCTGTGGTGGGGGCTCATTGGAAAAACCAGAATCGTTTGAGCTATGCAGAGATACGTTACCCACGGCGCCAACAGCAGATACAACTGTTTTAGCAGGGCCTGCTTTATTCTGCGTTACCTAAAACAAAAATCTACAATTTACAATGTGATCTGAACTATAAGAGGAAAGAAAAATATAAAAGTTTACATACAATATTCTAAATATTAGTTAGATTGTTGTTATTCATATATCTTACTTCATGTTCAAGTGAAAAATGAATAGTATATAATAAGTAATTATATAAAAATGTAATATCAGAGATCGTTAATACTCGTAGTACTACCGCAATACCTTGAAATGTAATTACGCTGCGTAAAATGTACGACATTTTATTATAGCTTAGTATTGAACGGCTTATTATTTTGTAGACGTGACAATACAATTTACTTCTAATAAACAGTTGTATAAATAAGTCCTTTCTCTTTGTATAATTTCAATAATTTTCTTAAAGACAATTAATTACCTGAGAACGCATTGGCAGTGTTTGGGGTCCAAAACTCCTGGTTTCAATAACAGCATGAGTGGTAAAACTGGCAGAAGATGTAGAATTTTTAATAGCGCTTGGTGCTGATGCTGGCGTAGATGCATGAAAAGTAGCACTAGCTGAGGAACTCAAAGCACTCGGAGACGGGGCTGGAAGAGTTGGAGGTAGGCCTGGGGAGCTATTTCCAAGGCGACCCTGATAATGAGAAATATTATTCAGTTTGAATTTAAAATTAATTTTCTTGGAATGTATAATCAAAAGAGTTTCTTTATAATCCCATCACAAAAAAAAGGATTGATATTCTTTTATAACCGAATAGGTGAGAGTCGAATAAAAAAAAAAACAGCATATGTTTTATCTAATTCGGCTGAGCGAATTGTAGGATATAGCTTAAGCTCAACGATATACAATGTCATAATATAAGTTTTGCAAATTATTAACTATTTAAGTCATATTTATAAAATAAAACCTCAACGCGTTGTGTATTTTAGGAATTTACAACTCAGATGAAGTATTTGATATTGCTACTAATGTATAAGGTACCTTATTAACATGATGAGCAGTGACTGTATCTCCGAACATACGAGCTGGTGGATGGCCGTGTACAGATGGAGTGCTAGGCGTTGTTTGAGCATGAGCAACTGGCGCTGGTGGTGGTGCCTCATTTGGTGTTTGTGCACATCCCCAACGAGCTGGTGAACTACCGCTGCAATATTATAAAATACGTTTTTAATAAAAATCATCTGCAGTGGTAGTTTAGTACCTGATATCATCATATTAAATTGCTTATTCTGAAACTTCACTTTTATTTTTATACAATTGTTAAAATTTGTTACAAATAATTATCACACAAAATTTTGCATATTGATATTATTTACCAACTTCTAAAAAAGCATAGTTACCTACATGGTATTAAATAACAAATGAACCGATGGTAGTTATGAATATTCTATTACAAGTTTAAATAAAACAGCTTGTTCCGATTTCATACATAAAAGGAAAAATGAATTTATTATCAATTTATATGAATTGAAATTACCGAAACGATACTCACGTCGGTTCATCATTGGCTATTGGTTCCGTGTACGCCAGCGGAAACCATCCTGCTTGATGTGTACGCAAGTTTTCTCCATACTGCCAACCCTTTGTTCTCTCTCCGAGTAAAGCGAGTAAATCTCCTTGCTGGAAACCTAGCTGATTGTCTCCAGCTGCTGCATAAGCATATAATGCTCGAGCCAAAGGCGGATCTCGTGATGTGCATGTTGGTGGTGCGAGCGATGATGGCCGTATCGCTGTACGAGAATCCGTTTCTGCAAGAAATTAAGGTAGATTTTTCGAAATAAGTTACTCATTATACTTATTTGATATACGGTACATTTTTAAGTCATAGCCAAAAGTGAATAAAATATCTAGGTATCAAGAAATACAAGATCTATCTAATTATCCTATCTTCACAACACGATCTAATTATCTTTAAAATATTTTAAAATTTAATTAATTATATGTTTACGTCAGATCCTCTATTGTGTAAGAGAATTGGAATAGCAAAGCCTTACAAACTTCTCGTTTCAAAATTTTACAAGCTATGATTAATTAAAGCAAAACCCGGAAAATAACATAGTTAAAGTAATTACATTACGTAATATAAAATTCTTGCTTCTAGTTATTTTTGTTATTTTTTTCTTATATTAAATTACTTTCAAATATATAAATAAATTACCTTGATCAGCATTATGTGAACTGGCTTGTAAATTGAAATCCGATTTGGCCCTAGAAAGTCCTTGAGTAGGCGATCCCAAATCACCGATTGATCGAATGTCGAGACATGAAGCATCCACGGAACGTGTTTTCCGTAACGCTGAACCAACTGATGCTCGGTCGTCATCATCACCAGTCCGGGGACTTGCATATACTTCTTCATCAGCCCAGAACGAAACTTGCTGTTAAAAAAGTTATAATTGAATTTATAATAGGATATTAAAACGATCTGTAATAATCAATTAGTTGATTACCTTGTTGGATAACTGGAAATAGAAAATTGATCTCTATGGTATCGTAACTGTCCTACATAATTCGCCTCATCTTTAATCAATTTGTTAGCATAGAGTATGTTATATAATTAACTTTAATAAAATTTTAAATTGATGTATTTTAATCATCTAAAATGATAACGCTCCTCATTACCCTCATGGGCACCATAAGCGTGACCATGTATTCTGTGATGACGATTATCATGGGTCGTCAGCTTGTTTGTCGTATCAAGTTACACAAAAAGGGTACAGTAAAAGTTACAAGTGAATAAGGACTTTAATATCATGTGGTATATAGGTGCTATTTCCGATTTTTTATGTTTTCCGAGAAATGTCAGATTTAAATGTGTCTTGTACGATATGAGAAGCCATAAAGATAATTTTACGTAACTGAATACAGTCGTAATATAAGGGGTGAGATGTCTACCAGAAAATGGGAACGTTCGATTCTGATTTACAAATGATATATTTTACTCAAATAATATTTGACAATAATAAAGACTAGCCGTTTCTCATAGCTACGCCTACTAATCACCTGTTATATTCGTTGGTATCGTCTGATAACGGAGTAAAAATATAACGTATCGTCAATACTTTTCTTTCTTAATATTCTAAAAGGTAACTAATGGAACCATGTATAATACACCAGAATAAAAGTTGAAGTAAAACGTACTTACTACTACTAACACCTAGTATTCGTGTGAGAGTCAAGAGTTCAATAAATAATATAAAAAGTAATAATTTAACCTGCTTCTTCGTTGTCATTCTAGTTTACATAAAAGTACATCTCTATGTATATATGAGAAAACGCTTAGAAGATAAAATGTATGCAATTTTCTTATTATAATGATAAATACCCTCATCCTGCTGACGAACATGGCTTCCACATTAGGAGGTAAGTATTCTCTCGTCCTGGAGACTTCAAGCCACTCGTCCAGACCAGCATTGTAAGATGCTGCGCCAGCAGCGTGGTATGCGAGCCAGTGTTTAGCAAGGGAACACTGTCTTTCTAATACGAAACCATAACGACGGCGCTCTTGAGTCATGGCCTGCAAACAATTATTTATATTTCAGGATGTTAAAAATAAAATACATATACTCATAACTATAATATCCAATTATGCAATCAAATATATTTTGTTTTGTTACCATTATGATGAATATAACATTTAAAATGCAATGATATAGTACCAATAAATGATATCACAAACATTTTAATTTGGTTTGTATTCTGTGACTTCTATACCGAAAAGGTCGCTAGAACTTTATCTATTCGATTCAATTATCTATTTATTATATCTATATATTATATATATCTATTTATTCGATTCGATTTATCTCGACCAAATTTGATCTAACAAGCTTTACGAGCTATAAGTCAGTAACATATACAGTACATTTAAAACCAAAAATGTTCTAGGACAGTACACCAGAACATTTTGGTGCCTGTTTTTTTTTTAAAGAAAATGTTTAACCTACTCCTTAATTACAAATATCTATTATCTACAAAAGTACGCGTTCATTTAAAATACGTGTATAGCATGCCAAATTTTTAAACAGTTTTGGCTGTTTAAAAATCTTGTCATGCTATGATATATGTAGTTTAGATACTTACATTTTTCAAGCTTTGTTCACAAAATGCGTCCAGTTTAGTTTTTTCCTCTTCCAATATTTGCATATTCTGTAATAGAAATTGTGACAAACATACAAATTCATGATCATAAAGATATTATCAAAGGTCGTTTCGATTTCGCGGAAAATATCATTTATGTATGTGAATAAATATTGGGTAAGATAAATTGAAAATATTGTTTCTTATTGAATTCATAAAGAATGTATGTTATAAATAAAAAAGTAAGTAGGAATGGTATCTAATCACAAACGGCATATATTATAATATGTAATATGAGTTCAAATATAAAATGTTATATGAACATTCCATAGAATATACAATAATAAGAGTTCGTTCAAATATAAAAAAAAAAAACTTGCTATGCTCGCAACGTTGTTCGCGTGTACTATTTATGTTATTGTAAAAGCTCGTACATTAGTAAATTTCAGTTTAAGTTGGTAAATCCTAAGTAAATCTTAGGATTTACCAATGTGAGTTGGTAAATGTGAGGATTTTATTAAAACAAGATCACTTTTGTATCTTTCACCAAACCAAACCTAGCCTAACCTACTTTACTAATGTTTTTTCTCTTTTCTTTACAGTGTTAGACATAATTTTAGACAAATATAATGTGTGATGATCGTGCTCATGGTCAGAAACCGATACTGTACAAATATACAAAGATAAACTATAATTTTCGGTTCAATATTCCATACAGTATACCTACCCTACCTGTTTGTACAATATAATGTTTTGGTTTTGTAACAACTTTATTATAATAATATTAAAAAAATATGTGTACTCTTACTAAAGTCTGTAAGTACCTTCATCTCTTTGTCCATAGCTGATCCAACTTTGGTAACATTGGTTTTCTTCTTGCGTTGTTTCTTTATGGTAGCGGCAGCTTTGCTGTAACTCTCTGAACGTAGTTTGTGTTGCTGGAGGAATCGCTTTTGCTCAGACTAAAAGAAAAAATGTAAAATACATTTATATATATAGCATAAACTTAATTTTTAATAATTGAGTTTAAAATATAAGCAGTATCAATTTGTAGACTTAGTTAATATCTTGCTCTGGTAGTTCCGCTAAAGATTACGTAATGTAACTGATATACAAATAATATATATAATAAATAAATTATAGTTATAAAGAAAAAAAGAGCTCTTCTTCCTTTTCGTTATTTAGAACATCCCCTCTTTTTCTCTCATTCCTGTATGTACTTTAAACAACATGACATTGTATTTATCTCCCTCTTGCTGGACAATGCAAGTTGTATAAAAAATATATAAGGCAAGGGTCGTTCACTCGGGAAAAACTTTTTTAATAGAAATTCTTATCTTGCAAGATACTAAGCTTATTTGAACTGTGAACCCTATTTCGTCCTCCAAGTAAACAATTCCTGAAAATACGGAACTATATACATAGAAAATTATGAAAAGAGAATTCGTATTGACTGACCTGTACTACTTTTGTATCCTTTTCCAGATTAGTTTCCAAAGGGACCAACAAATCGACGTAGAACGCCTTCAGCTGTACAAAAAAAACAAATCGAGGATTACAATTTTGTTCATTTGGTCAAGTAAAAATAGTTTAACTCGAGGTTTATTCTATAACTAGTATTAATTGAAAATAGGAAATTAATTAAATATGAAAAATAAATGTGTAAACAAAGATCTTATTGTCTATTAACAACAATTTATAAACTAAGATTACATTAAATAGAATAATTAAATGTTTGTTATATTATTAATTACAAGTTCATTCTTGGGTTTTCGTCCGCAAAAATAGCTTTTATCACGAACTCATAGAAGATTCAAGAAATGCCTTTACATGATGCCCATAAAGAATTCTTGTGCAAAATTTAATAATATCTAAACCAAACGTTTCAATTGTTAGAAAGTTGATTTTGGAAAATAAATAGATATTATAATAGCAGGGCAAAAAAATCCAAAATCCGATTGATGGTAAACGGTTACGCCAATGAACGTTTGTAACACCAAGGGTATCGGGTACGTGTTGCTAACACCGAAAATACTGTAGTCTCTAGGGAAAATCTTCGCAGGAAACTCATTTCACAACTTGAACATTCTTCATGTCTTAATCTTCAAAGTAATTAATAAGTACCTACCTTATAATGAATTTAAGAAATCAATAATTTTACAACTTACAATATTCATTTGTTGATCTTGAATTTCTCGATAAACCTCCACCACTTTCATGAGAGCTGTTCCTGTAAGTAATAATTAAAGTTGATAAACGATGTTTTGATTATGGCTTATTGGTTTATTATTATGATTAATTAATCTTGTTTTAGTTCACGCACTCCATCGCGGTCATTTAGAGCCGGCAAAAAATTAAATGTAAATTAAAAACTATTATATAACCGTTATGTTGTAAACAGTAATGGTATTCATAATGAATTTACGCATTAATCAAACCTTGAACTTTATATATCTAGAATATAAACATATTTCCGTAATAATTATTTTGAGCATTTTTTTATATTATACATATATTAAAATGATAATTATTTTCAGACAACTACAATTAATAATTTGTTAGCAATAAACTTATTACAGTTACAAGGTATTATTAGTAAATAATTAGTAAAGTTTTTAGGTTATAAATTTTAATAGCGATCTCTTCTAATCATCAGACTCACATCACCTTAATACATATAATTCTGTGAACTTGTTAAGGATAAAGTCCATTCTATTCCCTATCTTTTTGAACACTCTTACGCTTATAATTAAAAAACATAAATTCTTTAGATAAAAACAAATGGGGTAAACAATAATAATTGTAGTTACCTATGTCTGCACATCCTCCCCAAGTACCCTGTTGAGCTTGTCTGCCGAGTTTACCAACGGCATCAACATATAACCGAGATGCTGCTGCAGCACCTATAACAAACAGAAAGAAAATATTATTCATCGACAACAGTAACACTTGAAAACAAATAGCTAGAAATAATTCATAAACGTATTAATCTTTTTTTTTTAAGAAGACACCATTTATTTCAGTCTTGCCGTGACCACGACGTGGTGTAACACAGATCGAAACGTCGGGCATAAAATTTAGGTATATAGGTACTATTTACCGGCAATCGCGTCGCGTTAAGTCTCGCTTATAAATTAAAAATATGTTTGAACAATGCAATAGTTAACACGAATTTTTAATATCACTTGAATAACTGTTAATGTTATTAACAGTTATTCAATATTACTATTCACTAGATATGAATTTATTAAAGCCTCCAACTAAATTCGCAGCTAATTCAAACTTTACAGTGATAGAAAACATCGTTCATAAAATAATTCTATCCACAATGCCACGTTATATTTGAATATGCTCGGTGAAATGTGACCAAGTCGAGTGTTATGTTACCACAATAGTAACAATCGACCAAATAGCACCACCAGCTGGAATTGTAGCAGATAACGTAGTTTTATTACCATTTTAGCCGAGCAGTGTCCAGCAGAGTGTACCTAATAGTATTCACTAACTCATAAACTTAACATGTCGCATAAAACAACTAATGTTTTTCAGACGAAATTTCCAGAAATACCAAAGTAATAACTACTACTACTTATAACTGCTAAACTAAGCTATAATTGATTATCTACAGTGTATATCTAATAGTACTAGTACTAAAAATGTATATAATGCAATTTATTTAAATAATTTAAACATAGGTAATTAAAAAACCACGCTAAAAAATATGACCTAAAAATATTTCCAGTTTTAATCTTAAAATACAGCAAGTAATTTACCAAAACAGATTTATCTACTACGTAAAATTCGGTTAATAGCCAAGCTTAGCCTAAACAACATTCCTTAACGTCTACAAGTTCCGAATAAGGTAATTACTCATAATTTAGATGGAGATTTTTTCGTATAAATTATAGTAAAATATTTAGGACGGATCCCTTAAAAAATCTACAGAGTCAGGAATCTATAAAGCCTTATAAAAAATGTAAAGAGGCTTTCAAGGCTTTTAAAATGATGATCATTATATGAACGTGAAATGAACTCGATTAACTTTAAATAGTATTTTGAACAACATTAAGCGACCTCCAAAGACATTAGGCTTAAATAAATGACATTGTATTTTTAATTTATGTTTATCTTTTTATTCTGTTAATACTGTTTTATATAGCTAAGCTTATTGTGATGATATCTATGAATATTAATAACCTTTATCCCAATACTTTTTTAGTACACAATATACAGTTCTAAAATGTTTTTCAATAATCATTTCAATGCAAAAAATATAAACGACCTTACCAAATAGTTATGAAGTTCAATTTGATTATTAGTTTTATTTAACAAATAAAATAAGTCCATATCTAAGATTATTTATCTATTCTTAATTTTAAGCAGATACTAGATGTATAAAAGTTTAATATTTCGTTGTTTGCTATTTAAACTTGCACAAACATTGGAATGGAGCACACTAGTTATATTAACAATTTATATAAAAACAGTAGAATCCAAAAGCCCTTCCTAAAATACTTAAGATACAAACGCTCTTTATTAATTAGGTTAATTAAAATGTTGTACAATGAAATGAATTAACTACAAATAGTGGGTAAAATAAAGGAGCCGCCTCGTAAGGCCATACATCGCCGGAATGCCCAAGTTTATTGCTGTTAGAGCTTCGGGCATAACATTGTAGATAAGCCAACAGAGACGATTTGGCACAAACTACGCCCCAGTTTCGTACCCGAGTAAGGGAACACTGGATTTTGCATATAGATGCGCCTATTTGGCTTAAAGTAAATAAATTAATTGTCTACGTTTCACTGAGTATGCGTCAGTCAGATTTATGAACGTTGTGAATTATGAGCGGTTTCATTTTCTTGCAAATTGTGGGTTTGCTGAGAAAATTAGGTGAGCATTGTATGCGGTGTCTTTGAAACTTTTGAGCACACAGCATCGCCTGTCTAAAGTTTATCCGTTGGTATTTATACTACATACATACACATACTTATATACTTGCATTTAATATGTTAGTTAATGAAATTAATTCCTTATGAAATCAGTGTTAATAGAATCTCTATATTTTTTTTTAGAAAAAAAGAACATATAAACTAAAAATGAATTAAAATTCTCGAAAAAAGAACTGCCTGTACCAACAGTACAAGGTACATATTTATAAATATATATTACATTAGACCCAATTAATTGATACTAACACTAGTTCTAAGAAATTAATTTCGTTAATTTTTTATCAAACAAGCATACGGTCCACCTGATGGTAAGCGATTACCGTTATCGTCAGTTAATTTTAACATACAGTATAAGATGCTACCTAATATGATATCTGATATTATGTATACCATACAGATAAACGTTTACATTTACGTGTTACACTATGTGAATTATAGAATAGTACTACATAGATTTATTTTTGAAAAATATTTATTTACATCACAATATAAGAAAGCAAACATATAGTACTTTTCTTTAAGCAGGCACATTAGATGGTACATATAGTATCATACATATAAACCTTTATCTAAAAAAGTAGTCCAGAAGAGAATTACAAGCAACAAACTTTTGCAACATCTCCAGCGAGTTGCCAATAAAGAAAGCCTTTCGAACGAAAAAAGGTTCTAAATACCTTACTGCACAAAATCACAGCAGTATATTTGCTGTGATCTTCTGTGATGATCTACTAAATACCTATAATATATGTCATACTAAATTTAATAAAATTACTCACCGTGTAATGCCTTGAGATAAGCCTTTCCAGCAGTGATCATCTGCCGAGCTCCTGGATTAAATTTATCCAAGATATTCTGTAACAATACAAACAATACGACTAAGTATCTATAATAAAATTTTACTTATATAATTTGAGATAACAGTAATGCATAAAATAGGTGATTACATTTCAAACTTCGACTATGCGTGTTTCAGAAGAATTTAATATTAAGATTTTTCTAAAGATATTTGAATGAACACGTTATATAAAATATTTTGAAATATTGGAACCCCAAAATATAAATTGCCTTAAAGTAATTTGAATGTAGATCAACATTGAGTCAATCGGCACGCCCATTGTTGAGCAAATACTTTCGTTTTTAAACAAGAAACTATGATGCCATTACGAAATCTTTTAAGTGCATAGTTAGACTGATAAATAACATTCGTGTATGCAATATGAGAAATGAGGACTAAGACCGTAAATAGACGTTGTAGGAATGTGGCCTTTCAAGGATGCTGCAGCGGCGTGGCCTCGTTGATAGGTGTGGTTACGAGCGTGACAGCATTCCGTTACATTGCAATGTTTTAAGTAACTTCTTCTCTAATAGCTAAAATCATACTCTATTATAATTTAAACAAATATTAAGCCGTAATAAGAATCATAATATAAAAAGAGCTGTTTTTATACAATTGCCCAAAAAGAAAGTAGGTATATTGTGTTTTTAACGTATGTAATTTTCTTTTTATTCTTGTAGCAGACGATAAATGAGCTTAGCGAATTTTGTTGAATGATGTTCTATATTATTTTCTTGTTTTATTATGTTTAGGCTATATGACGTCATGAAAAAGCAAAATGGTGAATATACTCAAACAGAACTCGAGTTGATAAAGAGCGTCAAATTTCGTATTATTAAAAAAATATATATTTTATTTATAGACTTCAAAAAGAAGAATGCTTTCAATGTGGCTCTTTGTTACGTGATATTTTTACCAATTCTAATCAGATTCTGATAGTTATATTTGCAATTGATACGGTTTACTTCTGTCTTTATATACTTGTTTGTTCGAAAAAATATCATAAAGAATTATAGGTGTTATTCTACCTGTATCTTGATAAAAATAAATATTATGCTATTTAATTTGTGTATCTATTTAAAAATGAAAAGCAAATATATCAACAAATAATTGTGATACAAATAAACAATGTCAAAAAAAGTAAAAGTCAAGAAATTGTAATGAAAAATGCTAAGAGAAAATACATTTCTCGCTTCGAAATCGACGTGTGAAATGTGAAAGGCATTTCATACTCGTCATAATTGTATACTTACTTATAGGTATAAACATTTAGGATCACGACCCGGCGTTAAAGATTGTCTGTAGTAAGCATGTCGGGGTGCAGTTAAGTGCGTTGAGCACAAAATAGAGGAATATTCCATGGTACCGGCGGCCCTAATCCTCAGGTTATTGCCACATTACAAAAAGCCAATGCATTTTCCCTTTTACCCCAATATAGCTGGTCTTTCGACGGAGTGTGGGGCCGAAATACGTGCTAATGTCTTTTACGACCGTACCAACTCAAAATTTTTACATCAGCAAATGGGCACTCATGTATATTTACTCCAAGATGAAATTCGTGTTTGTACGTTCTCTTTATAAAATTTTAAACAAAACGAGTTGATTTTACAAAATGTAGACATTTCGAAGTCTTCATTACTTCCTTTATATTAAATTGTAATGACATTAAATGCACAGTAGCGCGAATTGCTTGACTCTTTATTTACTGACCACTTAAATTTTATTAAGGAAAGTGTTAATAAAAAACATTATACTATATTGAAATGATGTGATAAAATAACTACCTACGTAGTAGAGTAATTTCAATTGAATATGTATTTCACGGTTTGCCTATATTTCGCTTTGGAGGAGAAGATATATGTTTAATTTTGTATACGAGAAAACGCTATTTCAGACTTTATTACTACTGGTTTTCACGATATACTCGTACCTACCTGTCATAAATACTTAATACTCTCATGTTAATTTAAGCATTATAATCGATCTATTTTCATTTGAATATAGCTTTATACAATATCGTATAAATATTTAAATTCTAAAGGTCACTTTAAATAAATTATCGTCCCCATTCTATTCTCGTTCAATACACGACTATGACTGGAATATATGGCTTCCCAAGTTGCCAGGAGACACGTAATTTTTCACTAGATTTAGATATAGCTACCTTTTTAAAATACACGAATACTCAGTCACAGTAGTCGCTTATTGCTTGCGTCGAATGCGTAAATCTTAAGGTGGGGGACTTGGCACGGGGTTGTCAGGACCAAGGGTGAAAAATAGATACGCACTTAGAAAAATTAAGTAAGCAACAGACCCACGGAGGGCTGCCGTCGATATTGGAAAGAAAATTAATGATAATGGCGATTACTTTTCGTTAAGAATATAATAACTGTAGGGAAACATTTGGATTGATATGAAATTATCAGTACCATCAAAATTACAAATATGCTCCGGTATAAAACTAAGAAACAAGAACATAATTATTTTGTTAAAAATGAATCATTTTTAAAAAATGACAGCCAGTGTCATTTGGGATTATGTAAGACTTTTAACAAAACTCCATACATCCAAATCTGTTTAGAATTTATGGTTGAATGAAGAAACTCGCATAAAAAACACTCCTTTTAGCTAATCAAGATATTTTTCAACTATCGCCTTTTCGCCATCGACATGCACATCGTCGAGCATATTAGAATTTAACGTGGCAAGGGACGAGCCTACTGCCGTCACTCGGATTAATGTAGCTTGTTATAGACTAAATTAAATAAATACTATCAGCCAAATTCGAATTGAATAACTTTGCGCTCTATATGTTGATGTTTTTTCTGTACCCTTAAATTATCTTTAGAAAATATAAGTAAGTGTATTACATAGAAATTTCAAATTACCATTATTTATTAAGACACTCAATTTCGTCAACGTAGATATTTCATTTCGAAACAAAACACACAAGTCACATTGTATTCCGACGTTTTTAGTCTAACAGTTCCTAATGTAATACGGAGGCTTTATCCTATCCTCTTTATTTGTGGCGCACGTAGCGAACGACATTTGGTACCAAATTGCCTCGGGCAGACTTCGTGACGCTCCCGACTCCCTTCCAAAACCCTTTCCTGTCCTAATGCTCTGCGCACACGTACAATTTTTTATTTTACCCTCTGAGAATATCTAGTTATTGAAATTCATAAGCGATAGTTGAGTGTCTTACATCATTCTATTCATCTTAACTTTGTAAGTCGTTTACTATACTCGTATATACCTATTAGTATTTATACATTTCGGATAATGATTCTACTATTATATCATCAGAAATGTATATATATACTTTGAAAATTTTGCTTTTTTACTAAGTAATGTTACTTATTAAGTACATTTATTTATATATATTTGTAATTTAAATGATATATCTCATCAAACAATAAGGTATTTACTTTTATCGTCCTACATTTATAAAACAAAACATAAAAGTAATGCGCTTGAAAAAGTATTGAAGAAAGAACATTTTATTTGATTTTTATTTCTAAAAATAAACAGAATTTAAAAGATTTTTATGTTACTTGCCTTAGTCATAAGTTTTAGCTAAAGCGCTTATTTAATCGGTCACATTTTAATGTAAATTAATTAAGATTTTGTTCCAACAACCAACATTAATCTTGATAAAATTAATAATGGGATGTACATGGGAATAAAGCTATTCAATTAAAAAATGAATCAAATTCAAAATAGAACCACAAATAATGTATTTTATAGCATTGAAAAATTTATTTTAATTGAGTACTTCCTCCATTTACTAAGATGTTGTAATAAACTATACAGATTTATCCACTACCAGCTACAAAGAGCAGAATAAAATATTGTATCATGTGGATAGAGGATGCCTGAAGGCAAGTTGTAAACAGAGCTCGCAACAAGTGTCTATGTAAACATTTTCTATCATGTAAACATATTGACGTTTGCGTATTTGCTTTTAAATACCTACTTTATAAAGCTAGTAACAGAAGAAGTAGAATTAAAAAAAAATCTCATTTATTATATTCTAAAGAATGGCAACTAATGGCAAAAACCTCCTTGTAGGAGTCCTTAGTAGCAAACAGTTAATGACTAATATGGTGATTATATTATAAATGTGAAAGTGAGTTCGTTTGTTTGTTACTTCTTAGCACTTTTAGTACGTATTTAGCATATAGAAAAATATTAATCTACTTTTATCCCGATTATGTGGACGACTCAACAACTCTTTGTTTGTATTTAGTAATATTATTCTTGTGATTAACAACATATACTATACCTATATATAGTAGTATAATTTATTAGTTTGGGGTATACTGCAGTTGCAAGGGAAAGTAAATAAATGTTAAATTCCAATCTAAGCTCCGCGTCAATTCAACGCGGGAGTTCTTAACGTAATCATGGCGTGCAATTTGTTACAGATTCAACAATGCATCTCTTAAGTCCTTTGCTAGGGCAAAATAAAAGAGTCGCCTTTAAGTTCGCTAAATGAAGCTGAGCACAAAAGGCGGAGCAGAGTAATTCAAATGAACGCGGGCGGCGCCCACCGCTTCTGGCTTCGATCCTCCATTTTCAAAGTTTAATTTTTGCAAAGTTTCATTTGCAGGACTTCACAAATACTCTTAACTAACAGTCGGAACTTTGACTTGGCTAATTGATTTACTTCATTAAACACGAATGCGTAGTGTAATGAGATTATTTGATATTTGATCTCAATAGAGGAAGTTCGTTTAATTAAATCGTTACAAATACTTGTCGATAAATACCCGAGTATCATGTAACAAGGCCGTCTCACAACCAGAGTGCTTGATAATTGGTATTTATGTATGTAGAACGTTCAAGCATAGACATTACTTACTATTGTCTAGGGTCGTTATTATGTAGATATTTCTAGCCGTTCACTGTCGTTTATTATGACAATTAGAACAAACGACAAGGTCAAATTTGATGACGAATAGTAGCAGTTCTAATGTTGGCTTTATTGCGTAAAATTGCCATCTATTGAAAT